TTTTTATGTTTTCATGTGCCATAGCCCACCTCGACCGGTCCGCATCAATGACCAGTGATGCACTTCTGATAGGCCAATGGATCTTGCCTTTAGAAGCAAGTCTGGATTTAATTGGATGGAGTAGACCAATTGTTCCTTCATGAGGTAGGCTAGATGGGAAAGATAAAAAAAAGAGGCTGCTTGATTCATTGCTGGTGATTTAGACTATAATATAATTGGGGAGGCAGATGAAATGATATATAACGAAAAAGAGAAATATTAGACCTAACCAAGGAAAATATAAATTGCAAGGCTGTAGGCTATCAGTGGTTTCACATCTCATATTTATACTAATTTATACTAAGGGGCAATCTGCAGTTCAAACAATAACAATGTGGTCCCCCGCCACTGTTTCTGGTAAACAGCTGAGCAAGGTTATTTATTATACACTGCTCAAAAAAATAAAGGGAACACTTAAACAACACAATGTAACTCCAAGTCAATCACACTTCTGTGAAATCAAACTGTCCACTTAGGAAGCAACACTGATTGACAATAAATGTCACATGCTGTTGTGCAAATGGAATAGACAACAGGTCGAAATTATAGGCAATTAGCAAGACACCCCCAATAAAGAAGTGGTTCTGCAGGTGGTGACCACAGACCACTTCTCAGTTCCTATGCTTCCTGGCTGATGTTTTGGTCACTTTTGAATGCTGGCGGTGCTTTCACTCTAGTGGTAGCATGAGACGGAGTCTACAACCCACACAAGTGGCTCAGGTAGTGCAGCTCATCCAGGATGGCACATCAATGCCAGCTGTGGCAAGAAGGTTTGCTGTGTCTGTCAGCGTAGTGTCCAGAGCATGGAGGCACTACCAGGAGACAGGCCAGTACATCAGGAGACGTGGAGGAGGCCGTAGGAGGGCAACAACCCAGCATCAGGACCGCTACCTCCGCCTTTGTGCAAGGAGGAGCAGGAGGAGCACTGCCGGAGCCCTGTAAAATGACCTCCAGCAGGCCACAAATGTGCATATGTCTGCTCAAATGGTCAGAAACAGACTCCATGAGGGTGGTATGAGGGCCCGACGTCCACAGGTGGGGTTTGTGCTTACAGCCCAACACCGTGCAGGACGTTTGGCATTTGCCAGAGAACACCAAGATTGGCAAATTCGCCACTGGCGCCCTGTGCTCTTCACAGATGAAAGCAGGTTCACACTGAGCACATGTGACAGACGTGACAGAGTCTGGAGATGCCGTGGAGAACGTTCTGCTGCCTGCAACATCCTCCAGCATGACCGGTTTGGCGGTGGGTCAGTCATGGTGTGGCATTTCTTTGGGGGGCATTTCTTTGGGGGGCCGCACAGCCCTCCATGTGCTCGCCAGAGGTAGCCTGACTGCCATTAGGTACCGAGATGAGATCCTCAGACCCCTTGTGAGACCATATGCTGGTGTGGTTGGCGCTGGGTTCCTCCTAATGCAAGACAATGCTAGACCTCATGTGGCTGGAGTGTGTCAGCAGTTCCTGCAAGAGGAAGGCATTGATGCTATGGACTGGCCCGCCCGTTCCCCAGACCTGAATCCAATTGAGCACATCTGGGACATCATGTCTCGCTCCATCCACCAACGCCACGTTGCACCACAGACTGTCCAGGAGTTGGCGGATGCTTTAGTCCAGGTCTGGGAGGAGATCCCTCAGGAGACCATCCGCCACCTCATCAGGAGCATGCCCAGGCGTTGTAGGGAGGTCATACAGGCACGCGGAGGCCACACACACTACTGAGCCTCATTTTGACTTGTTTTAAGGACATTACATCAAAGTTGGATCAGCCTGTAGTGTGGTTTTCCACTTTAATTTTGAGGGTGACTCCAAATCCAGACCTCCATGGGTTGATCAATTTGATTTCCATTGATAATTTTTGTGTGATTTTGTTGTCAGCACATTCAACTATGTAAAGAAAAAAGTATTTAATAAGATGATTTCATTCATTCAGATCTAGGATGTGTTGTTTAAGTGTTCCCTTTATTTTTTGAGCAGTGTATATAGTCAACTAAAACTGAAACTAAAATAAAAACTAAAATTTGAACAAAATAATTAAGAAAAATATATATACAGTACCAGTCAAAAGTTTGGACACACCTACTCATTCAAGGGTTTTTCTTAATTTTTGTAACTATTTTCTACATTGTAGTATAATAGTGAAGACATCAAAACTATGAAATAACACATATGGAATCATGTAGTAACCACAAAAGTGTTAAACAAATCAAAATATATTTTAGATTTGAGATTCTTCAAAGTAGCCACCCCTTGCCTTGATGACAGCTTTGTACACTCTTGGCATTTTCTCAACCAGCCTCACGAGGTAGTCACCTGGAATGCATTTCAATTAACAGGTGTGCCTTGTTAAATGTTAATTTGTGGAATTTCTTTCCTTCGTAATGCATTTGAGCCAATCAGTTGTGTTGTGACAAGGTATGGGTGGTATATAGAACATAGCTATATTTGGTAAAAGACCAAGTCCACATTATGGCAAGAACAGCTCAAATAAGCAAAGAGAAACAACAGTTTCTTCAAGTGCAGTCGCAAAAACCATCAAGCGCTATGATGAAACTGTTTCTCATGAGGACCGCCACAGGAAAGGAAGACTCAGAGGTACCTCTGCTGCAGAGGATACGTTCATTAGGGTAACAGCCTCAGAAATTGCAGCCCAAATAAATGCTTCACAGAGTTCAAGTAACAGACACATCTCAACATCAACTGTTCAGAGGGGACTATGTGAATCAGGCCTTAATGGTCGATTTGCTGCAAAGAAACCACTACTAAAGGACACCAATAAGAAGAAAAGACTTGCTTGGGCCAAGAAACACAAGCAATGGACATTAGACCAGTGGAAATCTGTCCTTTGATCTGATGAGTCCAAATTTAAGATTTTTGGTTCCAACCTCCGTGTCTTTGTGAGACGCAGAGTAAGTGAACGGATGATCTCTGCATGGGTGGTTCCCACCTTGAAGCATGGAGGAGGAGGTGTGATGGTGTGGGGGCTGCTTTGCTGGTGACACTGTCAGTGATTTATTTCGAATTCAAGGCACACTTAACCAGCATGGCTACCAAGTATTCTGCAGCGATACGCCATCCCATCTGGTTAACGCTTAGTGGAACTATCATTTGTTTTTCAACAACACCTCCAGGCTGTGTAAGGGCTATTTGACCAAGAAGGAGAGTGATGGAGTGCTGCATCAGATGACCTGGCCTCCACAATCACCCGACCTCCACCCAATTGAGATGGTTTGGGATGAGTTGGACAGCACAGTGAAGAAAAAGCAGCCAACAAGTGCTCAGCATATGTGAGAACTCCTTCAAGACTGTTGGGAAAGCATTCCAGGTGAAGCTGGTTGAGAGAATGCCAAGAGTGTGCAAAGCTGTCATCAAGCAAAGGGTGGCTATTTTGATTTGTTTAACACTGTTTTGGTTACTACATGATTCCATGTGTTATTTCATAGTTTTGATGTCTTCACTATTATTCTACAATGTAGAAAATAGTACAAATAAAGAAAAACCCTTGAATGAGTATGTGTGTCCAAACTTAACTGTACTACATATATATATATATATATATATATATATATATACGGGGGTCGGGAGAGGCTAAGGTCGAGTCATGCGTCCTCCAAAACATGACCCGCCAAACCATGCTCCTTAACAATCGCCCGCTTAACCCGGAAGCCAGCTGCATCAATGTGTAAGAGGAAACTAACACATTTCAGTTAATTGCTATAGATACTGCTTTGGGCCATTCAGTGTAATTTTGGAAATGCCGGATCTCTATTGCAAGACGCATCATTCACCCAAGTTTCATAAAAATCGTCCCAGTGATGACCAAAGTACGAACGAAAGGACTGATGTTGTGATCCACAGTCCTCTCCCCGATTTCATCGTGGGGGACAACTAGTAAATCAAGTTTGAAGACTAACTGAAAGTAAACTGAATTTCAAATAAAACATTTAAAACGAATAGAAATAAAAACTAATAGAAAATCACAAAACTATAATCACCTTGCAGCTGAGTGATGGGTCTGGAGAAATGTAACCACTCTCAAATTCATAGACTGGGCTATGGATATCAACATCATAGTTTGAACCATGTTTTGAGGCTATACAGTGTTTGTTTACAACCACATTGTTCACAAACAAAGGAGTAAAAAGCTTATATTTTGGGTTCTGATGGGGTTAGACAGTTGAACTAAAATCATGAGTTATGTATAGGTTATATTGTTCAAGAATCAATGGCTATGTATCATTCATTTTTATTTCAGTCAAAATATGTATGTAGCAATCGCAGATTGCCCTTTAATAGGCCTAACATATATATATTTTTAAAAATAGGCCTACATCACTGCCTTTCCCCATTCACTATATTTTTGACAGGAACGTCTCCACCCGCTCATCCAATCCAATTCGATACCCAAAGCCGATCCATAACAATACATTATCCTAGGTTACGTCACACGGCATCCCGCCCGCGCTGCTGCCTATCCAACTGCAGTGAACCCTCGCGCGGAGGCTACTTGATACTGCGCTTTGCAGCAGCGGTGTGATGCATAGCCTAGGTGTGATGGCCAGCTGATGAACGGGCATGAAAATAACGCAGCTGAGTTTGTGTCTATGTGTGATGGTTTTTCAACTTTTTCTCTTATCTTGAATTCACTTTTGACGCTTTGTGTCTCGGAATTTCTTCGCGACTGAATTACGGTTTCCAAGAGTGGATACTGGATAAATGTTTTGGAGCATTTGAACGATTTCTAAATTCGGAACGGAATGCAGGTAGGCTATTGTCAAAAAAGTGAACATTTAACTTCATTTGTAAACTTTTACACTGTTCTTATATTTCTGCAAAATGTTTAAGGTTCGGTTTTCATACGGATAACCCTGGTCTAAGTCTGTTGTTCAGCATGCCAATACTTTTGCTGGTATTTTTTGTATTCTCTTAGGTCTGGTAAGCCCAATGACACATTCCATTTGAGATGTCCGAAATCCATAATTATAATCAAAGTCGACCCAGCAGCGCACGTGGCAGTGATTATGTGTGGCAGTATGAATATTATGATGATGACGAGCCGGTGTCTTTCGAGGGTCTCAAGGCTCATCGATGTGAGTGACATCTTATTTTACTAAAAGCCTGGCGTCTTAACGAAACGCTAGATAACAGTCAATTGATTGAGTGTGTGTGCGTGTGTACATTACATTTTGTCTGCCTGCATTTGTTGCTGTGCGTTTGTGTGTGTGTGTGTCTGCGCGTGTGCGCGTGCATGTTTGTTTACACTCCCACCCCTTGGTTAATCTATTCTCTATGTTAATTACTTTCTATAATTGCATCAGGCAGCTGCTACCCTAATTGTATTGCTAATTTTTTCCAAATCAGTGGGTCACCACTAGGCACAAACTGGTTAAATCAACCTTTTTTCAACATCATTTGTCAACATATTTTGATGTGGAATCTATGTGGAAAATACATTGGATTTGCAAAAAGTCATCAACTGTTGTTTTGAGGGTGAAAATTCAACCACAGGATTATGTCATTATGATAACCAATTTTCAACAAACCTTGTATAAAATATGTTGAATTTGTACCTTTGAAACAACATCAGATCTTCAATGTAATATCTGCTAGGCAACACCTCCTACTGGAGATTTGAGCAGTCTACAGCTAACGCTTTGGTCTCCCATCCAGGGTTTTAACCAAGCCCAGTTTAGCTTTGATATTTGTCACTGACTATTACCAATGTGCTATCGTGAGAATTTTAACAGAGCAAATTAAATGTTACCATACTTCAATCATATATCATCAATTATGTTATTTAGGCCTAAAGCATTTGGGAAGTCATCAACAGCTATTGTTTAAATTCAGGCCAGGATTTTTAAAAAAAGGCAATACGTATAGTCCCAGGGTTTCAAGCTTTGGTTTATTTCAAATGGAATCTACAAGTTAATAATAAATATGTTGGATTCACTTCTCCATCTCAACCAAAAATCTAAGTTAAAGAATAGGACATAAAAAATCTAACTGTATTTAAAGAGAGGGAGAGAGAGAGAGAAAAAAAGGGAAACCTGAAAGAGAGAGGGAGAGATGGAAAAAGAGAGATGATGTAACGTCTTCCAACGCAGTGTACTTGTTTTATGACTTAATGACTATTTACTGACCGTAACTGGACCATAATCCCTTGTTGATCTGATGTTGCAGACTCCATCGTCATCGGCTTCTGGGCGGGACTAGCCGTGTTTGTCATCTTCATGTTCTTCGTCCTCACCCTGCTGACCAAGACAGGAGCCCCGCACCAAGAGTGAGTTGAAAACATACCCTCTTTCCCCCCCTAAACCGTACAATCCGTCTACCCCATCTACAGTTGAAGTCGGAAGTTTACATACACCTTAGCCAAATACATTTAAACACAATTCCTGACATTTAATCCTAGTATGAATTCCCTGTCTTAGGTCAGTTAGGATCACCACTTTATTTTAAGAATGTGAAATGTCAGAAAAATAGTAGAGAGAATGATTTATTTCAGCTTTTAATTCTTTCATCACATTCCCAGTGGGTCAGAAGTTTACATACACTCAATTAGTATTTGGTAGCATTGCCTTTAAATTGTTTAACTTGGGTCAAACGTTTCAGGTAGCCTTCCACAAGCTTCCCACAATAAATTGGGTGAATTTTGGCCCATTCCTCCTGACAGAGCTGGTGTAACTGAGTCAGGTTTGTAGGCCTCCTTGCTCGCACACGCTTTTTCAGTTATGCCTACACATTTTCTATAGGATTGAGGTCAGGGCTTTGTGATGGCCACTCCAATACCGTTACTTTGTTGTCCTTAAGCCATTTTGCCACAACTTTGGAAGTATGCTTGGGGTCATTGTCCATTTGGAAGACCCATTTGCGACCAAGCTTTAACTTCCTGACTGATGTCTTGATGTCTTGCTTCAATATATCCACATAATTTTCCTTCCTCATGATGCCATCTATTTTGTGAAGTGCACCAGTCCCTCCTTCAGCAAAGCACCCCCACAGCATGATGCTGCCACCCCCGTGCTTCACGGTTGGGATGGTGTTCTTCGGCTTGCAAGCGTTCCCCTTTTTCCTCCAAACATAACGATGGTCATTATGGCCAAACAGTTCTATTTTTGTTTCATCAGACCAGAGGACATTTCTCCAAAAAGTACGATCTTTGTCCCCATGTGCAGTTGCAAACCGTAGTCTGGCTTTTTTATGGCGGTTTTGGAGCAGTGGCTTCTTCCTTGCTGAGCGGCCTTTCAGGTTATGTCGATATAGGACTCGTTTTACTGTGGATATAGATACTTTTGTACCTGTTTCCTCCAGCATCTTCACAAGGTCCTTTGCTGTTGTTCTGGGATTGATTTGCACTTTTCACACCAAAGTACATTCATCTCTAGGAGACAGAACGCGTCTCCTTCCTGAGCGGTATGACGGCTGCGTGGTCCCATGGTGTTTATACTTGCGTACTATTGTTTGTACAGATGAACGTGGTACCTTCCGCCGTTTGGAAATTGCTCCCAAGGATGAACCAGACTTGTGGAGGTCTACAATCTTTTTTCTGAGGTCTTGGCTGATTTCTTTAAATTTTCCCATGATGTCAAGCAAAGAGGCACTGAGTGTGAAGGTAGGCCTTGAAATACATCCACAGGTACACCTCCAATTGACTCAAATTATGTAAATTATCCTATCAGAAGCTTCTAAAGCCATGACATAATTTTCTGGAATTTTCCAAGTTGTTTAAAGGCACCGTCAACTTAGTGAATGTAAACCTCTGACCCACTGGAATTGTGATACAGTTAATTATAAGTGAAATAATCTATCTGTAAACAATTGTTGGAAAATTTACTTGTGTCATGCACAAAGTAGTTGTCCTAATCGACTTGCCAACACGATAGTTTGTTAACAAGAAATTTGTGGAGTGGTTGAAAAACGAGTTTTAATGACTCCAACCTAAGTGTATGTAAACTTCCAACTTCAACTTTACGTTCCCCCTTTTCCCCTGAAACCCTGGAACTCCTCTACCCCTTACCTCTCCCCCCTTTGCTGGGAGCCTTTCCAGCACCATGGACAGCCCCAGAAACTAGCATTGTGGTTTCAAGGCCTTTTTCTCAATTGTCTCAGTCTGTCCCCTCCTCGCCTCCTCTCCGTCATCTGTGTTGCATCCTAAGATGCTGGGTTCTTTTACTGAAGACTCCAAAGCGTACATAATAACCAGAGCAGATTTATTTCATGTTCTCCTTAACACATTCCAGTGGACCACTCTCTACATTGTCTTCAGGCCAACTCCACAATATGTCATTGAGCTTTTCCCGCCCTTGCATCACGTAATCCAATCACTTCAGTTCAAGAACGGAAACCCCATTGTCATTTTGTTAATTCAAATAACTCAACCCCTGCATACAAATCCCATTGGCAATTTGCGACCATTTTAAATCTAAACTCATTAACACATAATACATTTCTCAATACACCACAATCTGCACTAATATAAAATAATTGAGCAGGTGAAAGCCAGGCTAATGATGAGCTTCCACCATATTGTTTTCACCTGCCAAGTATTTTCTAATCAGTGCAAATGAAGAAGACCAGAGGAAAGAACAGATTTTTAGACAATTGAGAAAGAGCCAAAGACCAATCCCTCCTTGATCAAATCCAACCGTCTACCTCCTGCACTGCAGAACAACTGTGGCTAACAATTTGCTTTATGGTTAATATGCCGTCAGCAGGATTTCAGTTATTAGATAATAGATAAGAAAGAGCGGTATATGTCAAGGAGAAATAAGGAGCTTTATTTTCATCTCATGTTTATATGAATTTGTCTCTGCATCAATCCATTGTCTCACCTCTCCAGGCTGTTTCATGGCACTTTAGAGGCAGATCGCTTGGCTCTGGAATGGAAAAACACTAACACTAGAGCTTACATTAACATAAAACACTGGTGTGGAGGTAAGTCTAATGGAAAAAGCACAATTTGTGCTGTCTTGCTCACTCCCAGCACAAACAGATCTGGGACCAGGTTAGGAAAGGATCCCTTTTAAATAAAAACATCTAGTAATCACCCAGTCAATATAATGTGTTCTCTCCATAATATGATAAATCATCAGCATATTAAGATTATTTCTGAATCACACAATGTAAGAAATGATTCAATCAAATGTTGGATTATAAGACACAAGAGCTATATTGCTGTCCTTGAAAGTAATATAAATTAATTGACGTGTATTCCTCCTTCTGCTTTGTCCCTTCCCACTGGGCAACTGTTGAATCAACGTTGTTTCCACGTCATTGAAACCCCAACAAATCTATGTGATGACGTTGAATTAACGTGTAAAAAATTAATGGATTTGCAAAAAGTCAACAATGTAAGGGCATTTTGTCTTTTTTTTCACCCAACTTTTAACCGAAATTCAATGACATGGTGACATGTTTTTGTTGATTTCACGTTGAATTCACGTTAGTTGACAACTCAACCAAATGTAAATCTAGACTTTGAACTGACGTCGGTGCCCAGTGTGTTCTCTTCATCTTGCTCACATCCTCGCCACTTAACTTCTCTGCCCTTTCATAGACTACTCTCTGCCCTCTCCTTTCCATCCATCCATCCATCCATCCATCCATCCCATCCATCCATCCATCCATCCATCCATCCATCCATCCACATCCATCCATCCCATCCTCATAATCTTTCCTAAAGTCCTATTAAATTGAATTTCTCGCCACTCCCAACCTTCCCCTCTTCTACTAACCCTTCCCCTCTTCTACTAACCCTTCCCCTCTTCTACCAACCCTCCACCCGACGAACCCTTCCCCGTACTAACCCTCCCCTCTCTACTAACCCGCCCCCTCGAAACCCTACCCCGGCACTAACCCTGCCCCTCTTCTAACCCGACCCCGGAGACGACCGAACCCTCCCCTACTAACCTTACCCTCTTCTACTAACCCTCCCCTCTCTACTAACCCTTCCCTCTTCTACTAACCCTTCCCCCTTCTACTAACCCTTACCCTCTTCTAACCCTACCCCTCTACAACCCTTCCCCTCTTCTACTAACCCTCCCCTCTTCTACTAACCCTTCCCCTCTTCTACTAACCCTTCCCCTCTTCTACTAACCCTTCCCCTCTTCAACTAACCCTTCCCCTCTTCTGCTAACCCTTCCCCTCTTCAACTAACCCTTCCACTCTTCTACTAACCCTTCCCCTCTTCTACTAACCCTTCCACTCTTCAACTAACCTCTCCTCTTCTCTCTAATCCTCTCCTCTCTTTCTAACCCCATCTTCTCTTCTCTCATCCTCTCTCTCCTCTCCTCTCTAACCCCATCTGTGAGAGAGATGGCCATTACTCTAACACTTGAAAGGCTTAAAATCTGACAGAATAAAAACGGTTCAAAATTACTTAATTTATTTAAAGCTGCAGTAGCAGAGCAAGTTAAACATACAAAACTGGCAACTAAAACTGATATAGCTCACCATAGTTAAAAGTAGTTCTGAATACACAGGAAATGGTGTTATAAATCCTTTGAGCCAATAGTTGATTGTGAGCACTAACCTAAAACTTGCTTGATGTTGTTGAGACGGGGAAGGGGATAGGGCATATATTTCATTGGCGTTTTCAAGTGGGCACCTTCCATCTTAAATGTTTCGTTGATGAGCCCACGGCATTTCCAGAAGGTTCAACAGTGAATTCTGGTATCCCAGAACCAGCCCCCTCTATACCTGCTCAATCTCCTCCCCGCTCACTTTGGGGCCCAGCTGGGTTATTTTCTCTTCAGCCAGAGCCACTGGCTACCCCTTTCAGCAGCCTCTGAAGTTGCATTGATGGTTTGACATAAGGCTTGGCAGTGGATCCCAAGGTCCTTCAGCAACCTGGTAGTAGATGTTGCCACAAATACACAACACCCAACCTCCACTGGGCAAACTCTTGCTTTCCAGCCTCCCTGCTCTGTATCCGCTGCAAGCTCAGCCTCTTCCTCTTCTGTTGTCTCGTCCACCTTATCCTCCCAAGGCACTGTTAACTCCACGAAGTAGAGAGTGCGCAGAGAGTTGGACCACAGTAGACCACAGTACCAGGTCTGGTCTTAGGTTGATAGCAGCTGTTGTATCTCAGATGGAACTGTGAGGCATTGGCCCACATCCGCCAGCATTTTCCAGTCTAGGGCCGCATTCAGCTGTCCAGCATCTGTCCTTGGAAAGAGATTTCTCTGTGTTTGCTCTCCTCTGTGGACAAATGCTTTTTGTTGCGTAGGGTCAGATGTTCTGGGAGGCAAGGCATTGATGGTTGTTCACTTGCTTTTAAATGCTTCAGCTTGGCAGGATGCATGGACCTGTCAATGCTCTTGAGGCCTCTGATGGTCTCCTGCCTTAGCACCTGGGCTTGGTCTGTGTCTTTGAGGTTTGCATCATACCATCTTCAACTGGGCTTGGTCTGTGTCCTTGCGGCTTGCATCATACCATCTTCACCTGGGCTTGGTCTGTGTCCTTGCGGCTTGCATCATACCATCTATACCTGGGCTTGGTCTGTGTCCTTGAGGCTTGCATCATACCATCTTCTCCTGGGCTTGGTCTGTGTCCTTGCGGCTTGCATCATACCATCTACACCTGGGCTTGGTCTGTGTCCTTGAGGCTTGCATCATACCATCTTCTCCTGGGCTTGGTCTGTGTCCTTGCGGCTTGCATCATACCATACTTCCAAGAGTTTTGATGGGCTGCTCTGTTGGTATTGGCTCATCATCGATGAAGAAACCTTTTGTCAGACAGTTTACCTTTGGTGATGGACATGCTTCTTGACTTGCATGGTTCTATCTTCATTCTGGCCCACTTGATGTTATCTTGAAGTTTTCCCAGCATTCCCAGCAGGCGCCTGGTGCATGCTGCAGTTGTGGTCGTGGTTGTCATGTCATCTATGTATGCCCAGATGTGTGGTAGACGCACTCCGTACTTCAAATCGCTCACTCTACCCACTTCGATGTTTTGATTATCAACTCCATAGCTGTGGTGAAAGCCAGTGGAGAGAGGGTGCAACCTGCCACTCTGCCAATTTCCAGGCACTGACATGTGGTGGTGAATGCTGAAGAGTCTCAGGTCTTGGAAGTATGCCTTGACAAGGGTTGTGATGGACTCTGGAACCTTGACGAAATCAAACGCTGCCCAGAGGAGATTGTGTGGAACTGAGCCAAATGCATTGGCGAGGTCAAGGGATATGGCGTGAATATCTCTCTTCTCTCACATGGCAGACTGATCTCTCTTCTCTCTCATGGCAGACTGATCTCTCTTCTCTCTCATGGCAGACTGATCTCTCTTCTCTCTCATGGCAGACTGATCTCTCTTCTCTCTCATGGCAGACTGATCTCTCTTCTCTCTCATGGCAGACTGAATTTGGTGCCAGATCATGCTTGTGTGCTACAGACATTCAGAGAAGCCTGGAATTCCCGCTTTTTGCACCGATGTATCAACCAGCTTGTTAGAAATAATGCAGGTGTTGTCATTTGATAGACTTCAATTCTATCTGCTAATTTCATAGCTGATCTGTCCCATATCTGATCTATTGTTTCTTTCCATATAGCTTAACATCCTTTTGAGCTATGACGCTAAATACGTTTTACCCTCTACATTTAGGAGGCAGATAGGGCGGAATTGGCCATCTGAGGACTCGTTTTCTTTCGGGATCAGAACTCCTGCTCAGACGTCATTTGATGTTTTCCTGGAGTACATTGATTCCCTCATTCTCGCTTTGTGAAGCCTTCCTCCACTGCTTCTTAAGCTGCCTCCTCTCCCAGATCAGGCATTCTATTTCCAGCTGCCTCCTGGACTCGCTCTGCGTTATCGGTGCCCTTTTCCCTTCTCTCAAGCACTCCAAATCTTTCTGCTCCATAGTTGCAGATGATGTCCAGCTTTTTGTCAACTGTTCCCCCAAGCCTTTCCAAAGCACTTGTTAAGTCTGTGTTGATGGACACCAACTTTTCCTTCTCTCAAGCTCTAGGCCAGGGGTATATACTTGTTCTTTCTTGCTGGATGGGCTCAATACACTCCCCACTTGATGTTTCTGTGCTTGAGTTAGCCTGCTCAGAGGCAGGGGTACTGATATCCTGCAAACTTTGGTTTGGCTCGAGTCACTGAACATTCGACTGACTTGATTGACTTCTCAAGAAGTACTGATCATTGCGAGGCCCCTGTTCTCCCTCCTTCAAGCACATTCTACAAACACAAACATTCTGGCACCTACTTTAAGATGGCAGGTGACGCAATTACTGAGCTGAAACACCTGTGTCAATTGCCCACTTCCATTAACTGGACCAATAGAAACAGTTGACAATGAACACATGACTGCAATTGGTTGAAAATTATGGGAAAGATTTTGTAACTGGAACATTTGGTAAATGCCTGAATGAAGTAAGGACATACACAAACACAACTTGCTCTATAAATACTTTGAATAAATACTTAGAATAAATACACTTTAAAATGAAGGTCTCTATTGAATGCCCCTCCTTCACACCCTACCTCTCTCCTTTCCTTCTAACCTCTCCCTCCCCAACAGAAACCCGGAGCCGTGCAAGAAGCGCCACCAGCTGAGGAACTGTGTCGTGGACATCCGCTGCCCCCAGGGGGACTCCCTGGCCGACGAAGACAAGGCCTTCTCGCGTCCCCTTCTGGACGAATCACGCTCCTTCTTCCACTTCTACATCAGCAAGGAGGAGCAGGGGAGAGGGGGCCATGGAGCGGACGGAGGGGGTGGAGGTGGGCTACAGAGGGTCCACGGGAGGCTGGGAGGACGCAGCTCCTTCGGATTGGAGGAGATGGGCGAGGCGGGGGAGGCGGGGAAAGCCGGCGAGCAGGGAGACGGCGGTATCGACCTCCAGGGACTTCCGGAGGAGGGAAAGTCAGAGAGGGAACACCACTTCCTGTCGCACCACTTCGATATTCCTAACTTTGTGAACTCAGAGCACAGCTCAATGATGGGAGAGGACAGCCAATCATGTGGTCAGGACGGCCATCACGTCATCAGCTGAGGCCCCGCCCCCTCCACATACAGTGGGGGAAAAAAAGTATTTAGTCAGCCACCAATTGTGCAAGTTTTCCCACTTAAAAAGATGAGAGAGGCCTGTAATTTTCATCATAGGTACACGTCAACTATGACAGACACAATGACGAAAAAAAATCCAGAAAATCACATTGTAGGATTTTTAATGAATTTATTTGCAAATTATGGTGGAAAATAAGTATTTGGTCAATAACAAAAGTTTCTCAATACTTTGTTATATACCCTTTGTTGGCAATGACACAGGTCAAACGTTTTCTGTAAGTCTTCACAAGGTTTTCACACACTGTTGCTGGTATTTTGGCCCATTCCTCCATGCAGATCTCCTCTAGAGCAGTGACGTTTTGGGGCTGTCGCTGGGCAACACGGACTTTAAACTCCCTCCAAAGATTTTCTATGGGGTTGAGATCTGGAGACTGGCTAGGCCACTCCAGGACCTTGAAATGCTTCTTACGAAGCCACTCCTTCGTTGCCCGGGCGGTGTGTTTGGGATCATTGTCATGCTGAAAGACCCAGCCACGTTTCATCTTCAATGCCCTTGCTGATGGAAGGAGGTTTTCACTCAAAATCTCACGATACATGGCCCCATTCATTCTTTCCTTTACACGGATCAGTCGTCCTGGTCCCTTTGCAGAAAAACAGCCCCAAAGCATGATGTTTCCACCCCCATGCTTCACAGTAGGTATGGTGTTCTTTGGATGCAACTCAGCATTCTTTGTCCTCCAAACACGACGAGTTTAGTTTTTACCAAAAAGTTCTATTTTGGTTTCATCTGACCATATGACATTCTCCCAATCCTCTTCTGGATCATCCAAATGCACTCTAGCAAACTTCAGACGGGCCTGGACATGTACTGGCTTAAGCAGGGGGACACGTCTGGCACTGCAGGATTTGAGTCCCTGGCAGCGTAGTGTGCCAGCTCTCTGCAGGTCACTAGGTCCCCCCGTGTGGTTCTGGGATTTTTGCTCACCGTTCTTGTGATCATTTTGACCCAACGGGGTGAGATCTGCGTGGAGCCCCAGATCGAGGGAGATTATCAGTGGTCTTGTATGTCTTCCATTTCCTAATAATTGCTCCCACAGTTGATTTCTTCAAACCAAGCTGCTTACCTATTGCAGATTCAGTCTTCCCAGCCTGGTGCAGGTCTACCATTTTGTTTCTGGTGTCCTTTGACAGCTCTTTGGTCTTGGCCATAGTGGAGTTTGGAGTGTGACTGTTTGAGGTTGTGGACAGGTGTCTTTTATACTGATAACAAGTTCAAACAGGTGCCATTAATACAGGTAATGAGTGGAGGACAGAGGAGCCTCTTAAAGAAGAAGTTACAGGTCTGTGAGAGCCAGACATTTTTCTTGTTTGTAGGTGACCAAATACTTATTTTCCACCATAATCTGCAAATAAATTCATTAAAAATCCTACAATGTGATTTTCTGGATTTTTTTTGCTCAATTTGTCTGTCATAGTTGACGTGTACCTATGATGAAAATTACAGGCCTCTCTCATCTTTTTAAGTGGGAGAACTTGCACAATTGGTGGCTGACTAAATACTTTTTTCCCCCACTGTAAGTCTTTGTTGAGAGCTTATTGTACTGAGATGGATAAGGATTGGGAGGAGGGGTTGCCTTGGTTACTGTTAGCCGCTAGGGAGGTTTCACAGGAGAGCACAGGTTTTAGCCCAAATGACCTTGTGTTTGGACATAGGGTGCGTGGGCTTTTATCTGTTCTCCAGGATGACTGGAAGTCTCCCGAGCCTCCTCAGTCCCTGTTATCATATGTGTGTGATTTTCCGCGACGCTTGTATGCCGCTGGTGAAATGGCTAAAGAGAAGCTATCATCTTCACAGGACAGGATGAAGAGCATATATGATCGCCGAGCTGAGCCTTGTCACTTTAGTCCAGGTGATCAGGTTCTGGCTCTGCTGCCAATTGTTGGTTCTCCTTTTCAAGCCAAGTTTCAAGGTCCATATACAGTGGTGCGCCAGTACACTGAGCAAAATTATCTAGTTGCCACTCCAGAACGGAGGAAAGCACACCAACTGTGCCATGTTCCTCTGAGACTGAACAGGGGGAGTCTACAGAGGACGGTAAGGCTGTTCTTTTGGCTGATACTGTTTATTCCCTGGGTTCTGGTCATGCTAGGTCTGTGCAGGAGCAGGAAGATGTTTCTGGTCCCGACAATTGCATACTGCAGGGTAGATTGAAAAATTCAGAGACACTGGAGATTTTAGATAGCCTTCTTACTCATCTACCTGTTGATGGGCGGAAAGAGATGATTGGTTTGATTCAGAGATTTCCAGGTTTGTTTTCTGATACACCTACACGTACAAACTTAATAGAACATGATATTGATATTGGAGATGCTGACCCCATTCGTCAACGGTTCTATAGTTTCTTCAGAGAAACTGCGTTGTCTTTTTTCTCCAGTTGGGCTTCTCCCTGTATCTTGGTCAGTAAATCGGATGGAACAAACCGATTTTGTACGGACTACCGTAAGGTAAACAATGTTACTAATCCGGATTAATTTCCTCTTCCTCGGATGGAGGACTGCATTGATCAAGTCGGCGCAGCTAAGTTTGTGAGCATATTTGACCTGTTAAAGGGCTATTGGCAGGTGCCACTGACGAGTAGGGCACGTGAAATCTCTGCCTTTATTACACCTTTTGGTCTGTACTCGTATTCGGTTATGAGTTTCAGCCTGCGTAATGCACCTGCCACTTTTCAGCGACTTATGAACAGGGTTGTCTCTGGTCTGGCCGGGTGCGCTGTTTGTCTGGATGATGTAGTGATATATGCCGATACTTGGGAGGAACATCTGTCCCGTATTCAAGCCTTGTTCGAACGTCTGGCTGCGGGTCGCCTCACGATAAATTTGGCTAAATGTGAGTTTGCTCAGGCGACTGTGACATACCTTGGAAAGGTGGTTGGGCAGGGTGAAGTGCGTCCTGTTCGGGCTAAAGTGGTAGATATTGATGCTTTTCCACTACCAACTACTAAAAAGGAACTGATGCGTTTCTTGGGAATGATTGGGTATTATCGTGGTTTTTGTAGGAACTTCTCTACTGTGGTCGCTCCCTTGACAGATTTGCTGAAAGCTAAGGCTGTTTACGTATGGTCTTCTCGTTGTCAACAGGCTTTCGAAGATGCAAAGAGGTTGCTTACCTCAACTCCGGTACTGGCTGCTCCTCGTGTGGATTTGTTATTTACCTTGCAGGTGGATGCTAGTCATGTGGGGGCAGGTGCAGTTTTGCTGCAAGCAGATGTGGCTGGGGTTGAGAGGCCTGTTAGTTTCTTTTCCAAAAAGTTTAACCATTATCAGTTGAACTATTCGGTCATTGAAAAAGAAGCGTTAGCACTTATATGGGCGCTGCAACACTTTGAAGTGTATGTCGGGTCGGGAGTAGTACCTATTGTGGTCTACACCGACCATAAACCTCTCACCTTTTTGAGGTCCATGATGTGTCCTAATCAGAGGATAATGAGATGGTGTTTATTTTTACAATCCTTCCATCTAGATGTGCGGCACATCCGGGGGACGGAAAACGTGATTGCTGATGCGCTCTCTCGGGCGCCTTGTTCCTGAATATTGATGTGACTGACCATTGTTTGGGTTTGTCATGTTCTATCTTTCCTGTCTGTTCCCTCCTAGACTTCTCTTATTTTTTCCTCTTAAACGTTGATTCCTGTGTAAAGGTTGCTGAGGTCTGGGGAGGAGGATGATGGCTGGGCAAGTGGAGGTGTGAACATGTACAATTTGTCAGTTTGGGACGCAGAGGCTAGTACGTTGTTCCGGGGTCCTTGTTGGTCTCAGGTTTTGTGGGGGGGGGGGGGGGGGGGGGGGGTGACGACCCTCCCACTCTGTCTGCCGTATTCTCTCTCTTTGCTCTTGTTTCCTTATTAGGATGCCGGTGGGCGGAGTTGGGAGGGTCGTCAGCTACATGGGAAACACCTGGGCCCGGGTGTGTCCCAGGATAAATGGACCTCTTCCACATTCATTGAGGAGACTCTCTCCATGCAGACGCCTTATTGATTGTTGTTGTGGTATTTTTGTGGCTTGATGGTTGTTTGCTTTGGCACCTTTCAACACTTTGCATTATAACATTTTATGCTTGCAAAACACTCACTTACACTACTGATTACACACACCATTGTTAATTGTACTTACTTTACTTTAGTTAAATAAACATATATGTTGATATTCCTTGTCTCCACGTTGTCTCCCTTTTGTTACGAACTTTGAGCCGGTTTGTAACAACTGCCAATGTTTGTCTACGGGATTGCATGGCTGTGTGCTCGATTTTATACACCTGTCAGCAACAGGTGTGGCTGAAATAGCCGAATCCACTAATTTGAAGGGTGTCCACATACTTTTGTATATATAGTGTCATGGAAACAAAAATGGTTCCACCTGGAACCAAAAACGGTTTTATCTGGAAGCAAAAAGGGTTCTCTTTTGGGAACAGCAGAATAACCATTTTGGAACTTTTTTTTCTAAGAGTGGAGCGTTGTCCCTTGACGAATTTAATGTTCTCAAAAAAAGGATACATCTCTCTAACAGTCTCTCACACTGTCTCTGGCACTCTCAATAACACTCTCAATAACTCTCTCTCTCTCTTTCTCTAAGTCCTGTTAGCATACGGTTAGGTGTTGTAGAGTAACTAACATTGTTGAGACACTTAGCAAAATGCATATACCCCATGACATATTAGGTACTGAACAATTCATTGTAAATTATGCTTTTATATTGCTTTCAGTGCCTTCGGAAAGTATTGAGACCCCTTGACTTTTTCCACATTTTGTTACGTTACAGCCTCGTTCTAAAATGGATTAAATAAATACAAATCCTCAGCAATCTACACAGAATACCCCATAATGACAAAGTGAAAACAGGTTGTTGCACTTTTATTAGAAATTGTTGCACTTTTATTAAAAATAAATAACAGAA